AGGGTTGCGATCCCGTTGCGGGTCCCGGTCCGGTACGGGCGCGACACTGAGGGTTGCGATCCGTTGCCGGACATGAAAAAAGACAAAAAAGGAAAAAAAAAAAAAGGTTAAGATCCCTTTACTGGTCATCTTTAAACAAACAAAAAAAGACTGACAATGGTCTGGATGCCGAGACATCAGCAATCCCATTCCATGGAACTTCGATGATTAGTGGGGATAGCAGGCAGATTGTCTAACATCACAGAATCTAAGAGGAGGAAGAGTTGCTGGCTCTCAGCCGTCATCTGCTGTCAGCCCTGAGGACATTCTCTGACAGACAGAAGGTGGTTTTACCCCTGGCTCTCAGGCCTGAGGGAGTTCCAAAGTACTGGGGTCAACTCAGGAGCCCAGAGTTAGAGGCAGTATCCCCAGTTGAGGAAGAGGCAACCCTCAACTCTGAAGAGACTGGTAAATGTTCTCCTTTTCCATATGCAGTTCCAGCTAAATTTGTAAGCCTCAAAGGACAGAAGGATATCCCCTCGTTTCCTCTTTTCTCCTCCAATATGTGGTTTGGTATAGTGCTCCCAGCTAGAGAAAGACTGTCTTAGCAAGGGTAGATTCTGCTGTTGTGACAAACAGACCCTAAATATAATGGCTCAGATGCAACAGAAGTGCATTTCTTGCTTGGGTATCAGTTCCAGGCCAGTGAACTGTTTAACAAGGCTGTCTCCCTCCACATAGTCATCCAGGGACCAGACTAACAGAGGTTCTGCCATTTTTAACACGTCTTCCAAGGTCTCTTTTAGGGGTTGCCTCCATTTCCAACAGGGGGAGGTGGCAATTGCTCAGAAGAGGTCATGTAGAAGGTTCTGATAGGCCAGACCTGGAAGTGGTTCGCCTCCCTTCTGCTCTATTCCGTGAGCTGGGGTGGCCACAAAACGCAGCGGTTCACCTCCCTTCTGCTCTATACACATGTGTGAGGGTGGCCACAAAATGCAGTCTGGGGTATGCCCAAGAAGAGAAGAAAACGGATTATGGTGAGGGGCTAACTAGTATCTGCCTCCGTGATCAAGGTCTTAAGCCTCCCTGGTTTTCTTCCTGTGCCTCTGCTTGTCACTTCTCGGCCCCCTTGAAGGCTCCTACTCTGCCTTGTCCCTTAAACACTGGTGGCCCTGGCCCTTCACTGCACCTGCTCCCACAGCTTCAGCTGGTAGCACTCAGCTTCACTGCAGTCCAGACCTCAGTGTGGATCCTCTCCTAGACTAAGTGGATCCCCCTGTCCCTGCTCCTCTGAAGGGGAGTGGGCCCAGGTAGAGATTTGCTCTTTTGGGCATTTAGACAGGAAATCTGATCATGGGCCATGTGATCATGACAACTAGAGATAAAAGGTCTGGAGATGGCCAAATGTCAACTGCAGTTGTGGGGAAGGAGGGACTGAGTGAGCAGAGGAGGCAGAAGAGAGGGGACAAAGCAGACAGGGTGGTGAGTCAGCACTAATGCCTAGGGGCCACCAGAGCTTTCCCAGGTCAAGGAGCTTTCTGGCATCTGTCCAGAAGGCTCTGAACACTAAACCCTACCTTAGCTGGGTAATATGAGTGAGTCTGTTACCTGCTAGCCAAAAAGCAGCACTAAAACAAGGCCCAGCTTGGCAGAGCCAGCCAGCTGTCCACCGGAGGTGAGTCTCCCCTTCCGTGGTTCAGGGGTGCTGCTGAGAAGCATCTGCCCAGCCAGGGACTGCTTGTCCCCCTCCCCCCTGCTCTGGGTGCAGCCAACTTCTCACCAAAGGAATGTAATCAGGAATGATATGTTACTTCTAGGCCAAAGCAGTTAGGAAGTGAGGGTGGCTTCCTTCCCTCTTCCTAATGAAGTAAAAAAAAAAAACACTGGGCAGGCTTGGGTGGGGCAGCAATGGTGGCCCGTGCAGGAACAGCATCACCATCACAGCAGGGTGGCAGGGTGCTGGCAGCCCAGGGAGGCCAGGAGACTGGCTACCTGTGGCAGATGGAGCAAACAAGGTAATGACCTGTGCTTCTCTCTGGCAGGAGGGAGGTGTAAACATGGAAAGGGGGAAAGCTGCTGTGATACTGAACCTCAACTGAACTATTGGTGTGAACTCAGGGCCTACAAATATATAGAGAGAGGTGGAAATAAATATAGATGTAAAGGCCTGTCCACTGAGAGGGCCTAGGAGCAGCAACACCCCAGTATAGTAAGCACATCTAATGCCTGGACCTTGGCTTCTAAATACCATTCTCCACTAAGAACTCTGGAGAAATGGCTGATTCCAGAAAAAAGGCAAAGTTGCCTAGACCATTTTGTTGTGAAGGAAGTGCTCAGAGAATAATGCGGAGATGTCAAGACACAGCAGTCACATTGATAGGGGCACTCATGGCCAGGTATAGAGCAATTTGAATATCAAAATAAATAATAATGGGGCCGAGCCCGTGGCGCACTCGGGAGAGTGCGGTGCTGGGAGCACAGCAGCGCTCCCGCCACGGGTTCGGATCCTATATAGGGATGACCGGTGCGCTCACAGCGCTCACTGGCTGAGCGTGGTGCGGCCAGTCTAAAAAAGAAAAGGACAAAATATATATATATAAATTCGGATCCTATATAGGGATGACCGGTGCGCTCACAGCACTCACTGGCTGAGCGTGGTGCGGCAGGTCTAAAAAAGAAAAGGACAAAATATATATATATAAATAATAATGGATTGTAACCCACTGGATAAAATATGAATCCATGAGTCCACACACATATAAATAGAAAGAAGGGGAAGCTCTTAAATAGAATGCCACCTTGTAAATGTAGGAGCAATGATGAAAATAGGAAATTGCCATTTTAGGGGCACGGAACTCAAGGAGAGACTGAGGAGCTGTTCCAAGTTAAGGGAGAACAGAACATGGTAAGTGGGGTGCTATTCCTGGTCCCAAATTACATCTTTCTGTTACAAAGAACATCACTGGGGCTCTTGGTGAAACTGGATGGGGTCTCTGGGTGAAGGGTTTATGGGGATTCTTGCAACTTTTCTGTGAGTTTGAAATTGTTTAAAAACATTATTTAAAAAAGAAGCAGGGACACCTTCTCCTCTCTTCCCCCATCCACCAGCCACATACAGAGGACCTGGCAGAGGACTCTGAGGCCCCAGGCCCGATGACAAAGCCACAGGAGGAAGAGAGCCTGGGCCGTTCAATCACTATTGCACAAGAGCCAACCTTCCCTTCCTGGTCAGACACTATTTTGGACTTTACATGAGCAATAAATAAACTTCTATGGTAAGGCCACTGAGATGGGGAAGGAGAATCTTTTTCTGCATCATCCTAACTCATCCCCTTATTCAACAGCCTGCTATACCTCTTTACTCGAGGTCCCAGACACCTCAGGAAACACTGTGCCCCTAAACTCATCAGCAACCCCATTACTACCCCAACTAGAAATGCAGACACCATTAGACTTTCTCTCTGCCGTGGCCCCACATCTAGTCAGTTCCACCTCCTCTGTTGTCACTTGACCTTCCCAGGCCCACCAGTCCTGCCTTAGCCATTTTCTCTCTCACCAAGGTCATTATGACTGGTCCCCAGGCCTGTCTTGCTCCTTTACAATTTGCTCTCTACTCAGCACTCCCAGACCAGGCAGATGGTTTCACACTGCCTTGTCCCAGCTCCGGCTGCTGTCAACTTGAAACACCCTCCCCATTTTAAGTCCACTTGGTAAACCTTAAACTCTTCTTTCACAATTCAGCACTTGAGTCACCCTGATGAAGCCTTACCTAATCCCCCATCTCTGGGCTCCTAATATTCTTTCATGAACAGAGTCGCCCTGCTCATTGCATTAATGGGCTGGTACAAGTGTCTCCCCACAATAGCCTGTGAGCACACATTAGAAACAAAGTATTCCCAGGTGCTCTCCCTGCTTAGAATTATCTCCCTAGCCATCTCCCAAATGGCATTTAACCTGCCCATGACAATCATTTCTTGATGGCCTGCATATGCATGACCCTGGGTACACAGTACACATTCGTGACTCACATAGTTTCGCTCCTGGGCGTTGCCCTGGCCTCATTCACCTTTGAACTCCCCAACTCCTACACATCCTGGGGCCCAGCACAGACCTCTGCACATCCCAGGCATTCCATAAGCACATGCTGCAAGGACCAGACCACCACCTTCTGGAATTTCTAAGTTCCACGCGGCACTTACTGGCACCATGGCCAGCTACTAGGGCCAGCCTGGCATGACAGTATCCCATGAGATTAAATCTGCTGAGAAAGTAGCAGAGAAGGGGTGTATTTCTTTGCTTGATGCTTGCCTATTCCCGATTCAACTCTTGAAAAAAAGAGAAAAAAGGAATCTTATAGAAGTACATATAGGGGTTCTCCAGTAGATAGTGTTTATTCCCAAGCCCCAACCAGACACGTCTACCCCCAAGATCCCTGAGATCCAGACTGTGGGCTGAAAAATGAAGGCACTGTGTCAGAGTGCCCCTGTTGGTATATGAAGACTTTCAGGGACCCCACTTGCCTATAAGTCTGGCAGAGCAGGGAGACACTCCTGTTTTCTCTCCTCTGTCTCCAGTCTTCGGAGTAGGGCCTCTCTGCTCAGGAAGCCTGAGTCCTCTGTCATCCTTTACTCAGACTGAGAGGCAGACAGGCACCAAGGCCCAGTGAAGCAGCTACTCCAGGTGGCCAGTGGCCATCAGGAGAACAGACGCAAAACCAGAGCTGGGCCTGCCTTCTAGCCCATATCTGCCTGTCAGATCCAGGGCTTCTGTGCAGTTGGACTGGGCTCCCCAGAAGGGAAAGCAGCATAGCTGAGTCTAGTGCCAGGGGACAGAGAGGTGAGGGCTCAAGAAAGCACCCCAAAATAGGCTGGGGACCCATGGGGCTGAAGGGAAGTTTGTTTCAGGGCCCAGAGCCCAGACGTGGTCAGCCAGTGCAGATGGGAAGGTGGCCCGGCAGGATGTGCCCTGTCACGAGCTGGACCCTGCATCCCGAGGTCGCCATCACTTCAACATCATTTCCTATGGTACAAAATAGTTGCTTTTCTCCCCAGAGGGGTGGTGCAGCCTCAGAGCTTGCTCTGCGGGGCCTTGGTCAGGGGACGCTGAAGCCGCCACACCACCCTGACTGGCACAGCGGCGCGGTCCAGCTCTCGGAGGCCACCCAGGTCGCCGGTCTGACTGTACTGCTCCAGGGCTGGCTGGAGCACCGTGATGGGAACGCTGAAGTTCAGGTGAGGATAGGTGGCCCCCGTGTTATTGTCCCGGGTGTTGCTGGTGACGATGCCTGTTGAGGAGTCAGAGAGCAAAAGAGGATATAAGCCAGGGGACAGACAGATGGACGGGGCAGGGAGAAGGACCATCTCCATCCTGGAGCCCTCGCAGCCTGTTTGGGGGCTTGAAACCCCCCTCAGAGTGATGGAGGCTGAGATTCCTGTCGTGACACCTGCTCCCCACACCCTGTCTTTTTCCCGGCTTTACTTTCTCCTTAACACTATCAGTATCTAACACACTGTATCTTTCACTTATTTTACCATCTTTTTCTCCAACTAGCGTAAGCCCCAAGAGGGCAGGACTTTTCATGTTTTGCTCATGCAGCCTCCTCAGTACCTAAAACAGTGCCTGGCACAGAGCAGACCCTCAACAAATACTAGTTGAGTGAATGAACAAATGAATCAGACCCAAAGACACACTTTCTTTGGCCTGCTCAGCTCCTGTGTGCGTGTATTCCTTCTAGATGATTTAAGACATACAGAAGCCTTGCCTAAACAGTACAGACAGCTTCGGTATACCTTTCGTCCAGCTTTCCCTTATGTTAATACCTTATTCACTACAAAGCATTTATCAAAACCAAGAAATTAACATTGGTACACTTCTATTAACTAAAGTACAGAACTCATTTGGATTTCGTTAGTTTTTCTACTAACGTCCTTTTTCTGTTCCAGAATCCAACCCAGGATCCCACATTGTGCATTTCGTTATTACGTCCCCTGAGTCTCCTCCAATCTGGGTTGGTTCCTCAGTCTTTCCTTGTCTTTCATGGCCTTCACATTTTGAAAAGTACTGGTCAGTTATTTTGTAGAATGACCCTCGATTTGAGTTTACCTAATGTTTTCTCATGATTAGAGTGAGGTTATGCGTCCTATCAGGAGGTGTCCGACGTCTGTACTAGGACGTGTGATGTTACCCTGACCACTGGGGCTCAGGTGGTATCTGCCAGGCCTCTCCACTGCAGAAGTTACTGTTTTTCCCTTTGTCAGCACTAAATATTTTAGAGTAAATATTCCGAGGTTACACAAATATCCTGTTTCTACTTAAACTTTTGCCCACTGATTTTAGTATCCATCGGTGGATCCTGTCTGCAGCAATTCCTACTATGGTGTCCTAATAGCAATTTTCTGTTTCCCTCACTCCTACATTAATTGGAACTCTTCTGTAAGGAAGAGCTGTCACTTGTTTCCATTTTAAAATTTATTTGGTCATTTTTTTTTTCCTTTTTTTTTTTTACTGGCCGGTAACGGGATCGCAACCCTCGGTGTCGCGCCCGTACTGGGGACCGGCAACGGGATCGCAACCCTCAGTGTTGTGCCCGCGCCACGCTCAGCAAGTGAGCGGGAACCGGTCACCACATGGGATCCGAACCCTCCGCGGGAGCGCCGCCACGCTCCCAAGCAGCGCACTCTCCAGTGCGCCACCGGGCTGGCCCTATTTGGTCATTTTTTATGTCAGTGTGGACCCATTCTTTTCTTCTGGTTATAATCCAACATTGCTATTTCTTTTGTTTTCAAGTAGTTCCGGGGGGGGGGGGGGGTGCCTTCGGGTAGGTCCTGTCCACACTTGACATGCTCCCATCATTTTTGTTATTAGTACTTCCTTTCTGGTACAAGATATACTTGGCTAATCTTGGACATTCCCTGCCCCAGCCCTGGAATCAGCCAGTTCCTAGTTTTTTAAATTAGAGAATGATATTTAGGAACCAAGATCTGAGCTCTAGGTATGCTCACTGCCACGGGGTTGTCACTGCTTCTAGCCCCTCAGTGGACAGAGCTAGGAGACAGAGATTGTGTGTGAGCATGCGTGTGTGTGTATACTAACTTACATGCACACACATCTATATTTATTTCTGTATCCACTTATGTATATACGTGATTTAAAAAGTCAGACTGGATACAGGGGAAAATTCTTCAAAAAGGATATAGGAAAAACTGACAAGTAACTCTAACTGTATTAGAAATAAATAATATAACCAAACTAAAAGGGAAAAAAGGAGCTGACCTGAATAACTTTGGAAAACAGTGTTTCCTGCCTCTCAAAGCCCCTACAACTGACCTTTCTCCACATAGCAGCTGGGGTCACCTCTTAAAAGCAGGAATCTTCCCATGTCACTCCCTGCTCAACAGTGTCCCAGGATTTCCTGTTCTCATTTTAGGTTCAAACTTCCCACTGGGGCTTCTAGGCCCTGCATGGCTCTGGCTCTTCCCACACTCTCACTTCCCCTGACCCAGCCACTCTGGGCCTCTCCTTGTCCCGAAACTGCCAAGCTCTGGTGGAGTGGTGGGGGTCGTGGTGACAGGTGGTAGCCGGGCCGGCTGGGCTTGACCTGCACACAGCCTTGCACTTGCTGTTGGGGTAAGTCCCCTGATCGCTCGTCACCTGAGTCTTTACCTGTACCACGGGGAGAAAAATAGTTCCTCTCTGGGAGAAGGTCCTTGGGGGTCAAGTGAGTGAATGCGTAACAAAGACACACGCGGTGTGTCCACACAGAAGCTTGCACAGAAATGGTCACGGCAGCATCACTCATCCAAGCCAAAGGCCAGGGGACAACCCAAGTGTCCACCCATAGGTGACTGGATAAACACAATCTGGTAGGTCTGTACCATGGAACGCTATCCAGCCACAAAAGGGATGAAGTTCTGAAACGGGTCACAGTATTGAGAACATTATGCTAAGTGAGAGAAGCCAGTCTCCAAAGGCCACCTACTATGTCATTCCATTCATCTGACAGTCCAGAGTAGGAGAATCTATAGAGGTGGAAGGCTGGCCGGTTAGCTCACTTGGTTACGGCATGGTGTTATAACACCAAGGTCAAGAGTTCCGATCCCCGTACCAGCCGGCCACCAAAAAACCCAAAAAGTCAATTATTGGTTGCTTAGATTTGGGTAAGGGGCCGGGGGTGGTGCGGGTAGTGACAGCTAAAGGGTGTGGGGTTTCCTTTTGGAATGATGAAAATGCTCTAAAACTGACTGTTGTTGGTTGCTTAACTCTGCATCTACTAAAAGCCTTTGAATGGTAATTTTTTTTTTTTTTTTTTGTTTTTTGTCTTTTTCCGTGTCCGGCAACGGATCGCAACCCTCAGTGTCGCCCCCGTACCGGACCGGGACCGGCAACGGGATCGCAACCCTCGGCGTTGCTCCCGCACCTCGCTCAGCCAGTGAGCGGGAACCAGTCTGTATGTGGGATCTGACCCCTCGGCAGGAGCGCCGCCGCGCTTCCCAAGCGGCGCACTATTGCAGTGCGCCACCGGGCAGGCCCCATACCCTTTAAGTTTCTACTTAGATACTCATGCCTCCAGAGAGCCCTCCCCAGGCCCCCACAGGAAGAGGCCAGGAACTCCACTGAGCTTCTAGTGCTGCATCTGCTCAGCCGCTTCTCCTGAGCATCAGGCTGTTCCCCAATCCTTGATAGACTGGGCAGCTGTCTCTGGGGTTCCTAGCACCTAGTGAGGTGCTCAGTAAATGTTTATGAAACTGACATCCATCTCCTCCCAGGACTGAGAAGTCTCTTGATGAAAGGAAATGATGATGATGGCTATAAAGCAGCCACCACTTTCCTCTCCCAAGTGTTTCGAATGTTCAGGGCGGGGCATGCAACTAAGTGCTTTACAGGCAACATCTCAACCCAGGTCTCACAATGCCCAGGAGTAAGGCGCATTAGTCCCATTTTACAGATGTGGGAACTGAGGCGGAGAACAGTTAAGTAGTCTGTCTAAGGACACAGGGCTAATAAGTGGCAGAAGAGAGAAGCCAATTCAGAATGTCTGTACTTTTCATCACCATATCACACTGCCTCCATGAAGTGGAACATCCAGTACTTATGTGGCAGCATCAAAAACCCTTTATCCAAATCACACCATTGGGATCTCAAAAAGTGCCACAGATTTCTCTGACCAGCCTGAAGTGTTAGGAGTCCCCAAGGCCCAGCATCCCCAAACTATATTGCTGCAGGCCTTTGGGAAAGGGGTTTGCCCCATCTTTGACAGGGTATTCCACCTGCCCCCCAGCATCTTGGGCATGCTGACACAAGCAGGGAGTCCTCCAAGAACTCCAGCCAATACCACCTTGGCTCACTAAGTCAGAGGTGAGGAAGGGAGCTGGCCTAGGGAACCGCCCCCCTGGTCTGGCATGGTTAGAGTGCCCAACACCGACTCTCCTTCCTGAGGTCCATCCTAGCCCACAGGGGCCCTACTTCAGGCTATGCCCTTTGTCCTTTACCTTCATGAAAGTGCTTGGCGGGCACAGGCAAAGGGGCACCATCCAAGTCCTCCTCCAGGCTCACGACTGCTATGTCATAGGGAGATGTCTCCTGGGTGGCAAACACCACATGTCCCCAGGTCACCACATTCCTGGGACAAAAGGAAACAAATGACAGGCTACCTTTCTGACCTTTTCGCACTTGGGGGAAATCAAGGAGCTGAATGACAGTTAAAGTCATGGACTTGGAGTCAGAAGCTCTGGGTGTCAACCCTGAAACCTACTAGCCAGCCAACTCTGGGCACGTCACTTAACTATTCTGGGGTATTTCCAAACATGCTTTACAAACTATAGAGTACTTCTATGTAAAGCTTCCTGTATCTCGCCACAATAATAAACACCTGACACTTAGTATTGTGGGCCAGGCCTGGTGTTAATGCTCTGTGGACATTGTTTCACTTGGTCCTCACAACCCTATGAACTAGGTATTGGTATTATCTCCAGTTTAGATGGTGCAGATGAAGCTCAGAGAGGTTGAGGAACTTCACTGAGGCCACAGAACAAGTGGGGGAGACAGGGCAAACATATCAACACTTTTCATCATTGCACCAGTGTTAGCGCCAGCAATGCTGTCAGCTGGTGGGGCAGGCATGATGTGCTTTCACTGCTCCAGGTCCCTGTATACATACATGCTAGCATGTCTGTAGCATACTAGGTGCCAGGCTCTGTTCCTAGATTGTACATATAGTCAGTTCATGAGGTGGGGGGACAGCATAAACAAAGTGACTTGCCCAAGACCACAAAGGGGCCTCCTACTACACACTCTGCAGGGATAGCTTCCAACAGACCTGGTGGTTTCCTTAGGAGCAAGGGGAAGAGGGAGGAGGAATCTGGGGGCCACACCACAGGGAAATCCTCATTGTCAGTCTTCCCTATAAAATCATGTCCTTTAGGCCACCGGGGATCTCTATGGCAAATCTGGGCTGGGTTAAAACTGGGCTAACCTCAGAGACTCACAAAAGGGATGTGTAAATGTCTGTGCAGAAAGGCTGGGTTGAGCCGGTACAAGAGACGTTCAGGCATTAACACCAACATGTGGTAAGCTCTGCTTTGGCCTGAGCTAAGTAAGCACCTGCAACTACAGAGGAAACAAAAAGAACATGTGCTAGAAAACCAAGCCAGGAAGCCAAGACAGCTGTCTCCACTGTCTGAGCAAATGGAAGTAAAGGGGCACAAGGGTGCTTTTCCTGTAGAAAGAAAACAAATGACTACCTAAAGCCCCAAGCCGCTGCCCACCAGGATCACCCAAAGAATTTGCAGAACATACAGATGCTCCTCAACTTACAATGGAGTTACATCTGATGAACCCAGCAAAGCTGAAAATATCTGAAGTGGAAAATACATTTAATACACCTAACCTCCTGAACACCGTAGCTTAGCTAGCCTACCTTAAACGTGCTCAGAATACTTAACGTTAGCCTGCAGTTGGGCAAAAATCACTAAGCCTATTTTATAATACAGTGTCGACTACCTCATGTAATTTATTGAATACTGTACTGAAAGTGAACAACAGAATGGTTGTATGGGTACTGGAAGTATGGTTTCTACTGAATAGTATTGATTTCACACCATTGTAAAATCGAAAAATCCTAAATTAAATCATCCTAAATCAGGCACGTCTGTCTCCGTCTGCCTGGACCCCACCCATACATTCTAATTAGGTGGAACCTCACATCTGTCATTTCCATCCAGAAGGGACGCTCTGGCTAAACTCTGATACATTGAATAAGATTAACAGGCTCATCTCATTTCTCCAGGAGTTATATACTGGGCTGTTGGGATTTCATCACCTCTTTCAGGGGAGAAGAGGACAGGGTTTCAGAATTTCTGTTCAAAGGGCCTAATGGAGTGTGAGGTGCAGGGCTATGAGAGAGAGAAGCTGCCCTGTAGGAATTCAGACTGTGAGGGGGAGCTCAAAGATGCCAGGGCTGGATGCAGGGAGCCCCACCGTTCCCAAATACAGAATTGCTTGGAGTTTGGCATCTGGCCCAAGTTCCATTCAGCCCTGCCAGAAGGCTCACATGCCCCTCACTGGGGTTCTGGGTGTCAAGGGATGAGGGGAGGATCCCAGGTCTCTACCCACAATACAAGCCCAAAGCAGGGTGACGCTAGAAGAAAGGCCTCTATCCACACCCGAGATTTGGTAACAGGTATGGGGGAGCAGCCCTGAGGGTCTTACTTGGGGGTGGCGGAGCGCACCAGGACTCTGGCCGTCTCCCGAGGGGCCACATGCCGGCAGGTCACCACGAGGCGGGGCGCCACGGCCACTCCGGAGCCCCATACGGTGCCGCACTCCACCAGCACGGCCGCGGCTGCCCACGGGGGCCCGGAGTCTCCAAGGAGAAGGCCCCGCGGGGCTCCCACCTCGGGCGGCAGGAGGGCGGCCAGGGCAGCAGCGTCGGAGC